AGCAAGTAACTCAATTTATTCCTCTCAACTTTTTATTGTTGTGTGCCAGTTTATAAAACATCATGGTACAAAATTATCTTAAGTAAATGCCTTCTTAAAGAGAAATTACAAATTATCTTTTCTCAAATCATTCTGAAGGAGGAGAAGAACCATTTATATTTTTTGTCTTAGACCCTGACCAACTTAACCCAACCCTATGAATGTTGAGGTAACGCTGATCTACTCTTTTATTTGGTAACATCAACCTTGATTCATTAGCTTTGGACATTTATTCTGGATTTTAAAGATTTTCAGTCATGTGTAAAGTGCTGCTGGTCTTAAAGTCAGATGACCTAAGTTCAAATTCACTACTGATACTTACTACCTTCTATATGATGCCAGGCAAGTCCCTTAACCTCCATGTCTCAAGCAACTCCTTAGGCCTTTCCTCCTCAGTAAACACATGAATCTAAGTAAATAGGTGAATCTCAGTATTGCTACAGTGGCAAGAGTTCCTACACCAAGAGTTGATGTTGAAGAAACTATATAAATGAAAAAACAGGTTGCAATTAATTGGCAAAGGAAAAGAGATGAAGAAGAAAAGGAAAAAAGAGACAAAGATGTGGTTTACAAAACCAATAATGGAAGAGAATCGGACAGCACTCTTCTGAAACCATTTTTATAGGGAGAAAATATAGAATTCATTACTGTGGGTACAAAAATTAAAATGAACAGCAGAGAAGCAACTAAATATTTCTTTTAAAATCCAACTTTATTAAATACATTAATTTATATTTACCTCTAGAATAAAGACACAGAAGTTCTAAATTGGGTTCCTAAGAATGCTAAATATTTCTGCTCAACAATCTGAGGTAACCAACCAATATATTTATACCAACATTTAAAAAGGAAAATAGTTAATATCTAGATAAGACATCTAAGCCCATTTAAAAATATGACTCATTTTAGCCAAGGGTCTTCAATGATCCATAAAAAACTTTTTTTCTTAATATGAGTAGAGTACTTCAAGGATGGTCACAGGGACTGGGAGAAGAAAAGATCTAGGTTATGAAAGATTTCTAAAATAGATAAAGGAAACCTGAAGCTTTTACAAATATTCCTTTAAAAAGAGAATCCTCACATGATCTTATTTATGATCACAACGAGCAAAAGAATAAGCACATAAAATTAGATAACTAAATTTAGCTTTACACAATATTTAAATTAATACTTCCCTCTCCTTAGAAGCACAAAATAAATATTTATGTGGGGACCACCCCTAAGCATAGCAACTTGTAGGAGTGGCAGTAATGACTGCACGGTCTTACATCTCTACTGGTAAAAAATATTTACATAACCACGAGCCCTCAGAGAAAATTTTCTTTTGCTTAGTTATGTTGTGAATATACAAGCCTTCACTGTCAGCACAAATATTCTAAAACACTGGAATGCTATTTTTCTTCAACGTTTCAAATCAAATTAAAATATTAGCTGGCCTGTTGCAAAGTATTAGCTGGATTTCAAAAGAAAAATCTAAACTCTTTATAATGCTAGGAGAACTTAACATTAACTACTTGACTACTATTTACGAAAAAAAAAAAATAATACTGCCTTTATCCACTTCCCCAGGATGTGTCAGCATCATGTATCAGGTTAAGTCTACCTCTGTCCAGTGAGTCCATAGGATCATAGCTTTAGAACTGGAAGGGACCTAAACGGTCCCATCTCCTCATTTTATAGATAAGGAAATTGAGGCCCAGAGAGGTTAAGTGATTTGTTCAAGGTCACATAGCTAGTAAATGTCAAAGCTGGGATACGATCCCTGGCCCTTTGACTCCAAATTCAGGACTCTTTGACCTATATCATATTGACGAGGTCTACCTATATGGATTTACAGTTCTTCAGAGTCCCTTAGCTTTACATTTTCCATACTTAAATAGCTTCAAAGAGAATTAAGCTAAATATTAGTAAATATTAAAATGTCAACATTCAAAAAGAATCTTACTAATACTCTCTCACAAGCAAAAACAATTTCAAAGAAAGTAAAATTTTTTACACTAATGATGGGGAGAACATGGATAGTCTAAAAAACAGATTTTCCTTAATATGTATCCTTGGACTTTTCATTTGACCATGGGTCAAATATTCAGAGAATTTGCTTTTTACAAAATAAAGAAGGCATATTATAAAAACCAAGGCATAAAATTGAGAAAAAAATGATTTTATCATCTTGAACTCTGCCCATATACTTTCATACTTTCCATCACTCAAGTTGGGAAGAGGAAGGTAGGTGTCGTATAGGCACATAGGTAGCTCAGTGAATTGAGCTCTACACTTGGACTCAGAAAGACCTGACTTCAAATCCTGCCTCAAACACTTATTACCTGTGGGATCCTGGGCAAGTCACAATCTCTGTCAGCTTCGGTGCCCTTGCCTGTAAAACGGGGATAATAACAGCACCTTTTACAGAGTTGTTGTGAGAATCAAATGAGATAATATATGTATGTGTATCTATTTGATTTTTATATATAACATAATATATAATACAATGTTATATATACATATATACAATATAATGCTGTCTTTTATATGTCATACTTAACTATATATTTGTTATATAATATAATGTTATATACATATGTGTGTATATATATTACATATGTAAAAAAACCACATATATTATCTCATTTGATCTTCACACCTCTGTAAGGATGTGCTATTATTATCCCCATTACTAAATCAGAGGGTTGTACCTATATATTTCTATACTAATGATATGTAAATTGCATACTGTTTTTTTAAAAATGAGCAATTAAAAGGGATAAATTACAGTTACTTGGAAAATACATTTATGTAGAGAACCTTATTTTCCAACCATATTAAATTGCTACCACAATTAGGCAATTGAAACAAAATTCGTCATCAAACTAGAAATAAAATTTTCCAACAAATCAGATTATTTTAAAACCAAATAATTAGGCTAAACTTAAGACACAAAATATGTTTAATGGAAAGAAAAGAATCATCCATACTGCCCCATAACTGTTAAGCAAATAAAAACTCCCAATAATACACCCAATTTCTCATGCCTCTGTCTTTGTTCTAACTCAGACATAATTATCACAAATTACAATGGCCATGGGAACATAAATGTCATTTTAAAAAATTAAAGTTGATAGGAAATTAGAATATAATAAATATAGACACAAAGCAGTTTAGTCTACCTTGGAGTCAAGAAAATCTGCCTCTTATAATAATAGTGCTGAACAATATGAACTTAAGAACAGTAATTTAGCCTCTCAGAGCCACCACTCAACTTTACAAGACTGTAAATAATAGAGTAGTTGCCATCTATATCCATGGAGAGAGTTTCAATATGAGAATTCCTTACAGTGATGAAATCACAAGTCAAAACAAAAATAAAATGTTTTTTTAAAAGTTCTTTAGAACAAAATAATGAAGGAACTGAAACAAAAGGCTTAATTGCTGAACTGGAAGAGTAATGCTAATAAAGATAATTTTATTTTGTAATCTTTCTGAAATAATATCATAAAATAAGGATGACAGTTTACATTAAAAAAAAAAAAACAACGTACTGGGTCTAGAGCCACAAATTCCCTACTATACCTTTCTGAAATGAAAGGATCTGAGGACCAATGTATACAATATTAATATTTTTTCATTTCCTAGTCAGTTAACTCATTGGTAGTTTATTAAAACTGAAATAGAAACCTCTCTGCCCTGCCCTCCTGGATTCCTTATTGAATCATAATGTTTCCTAGTATTGAAAAATTCCCATTCCCTGTCCTACCTCTGAAAAGATACCTAGGGAAGGGGACAATTAGGTTTCAAGTCAACAGTCTTGAGTATATCTATATATTCTTAAAGTGTAAAACTTAAAAACCCAATCAGTTTTGTGAATTCTACCTCTGCATCCCATCTTGTATGTATCCCCTTCTCTCCACTCACCCCTCTGCTATATTAGTGCAGGTTGTCATCATCTCTTGCCCAGACTATTATAATAACCTTGTACTGGACTCCTGGCTTGTGGTTTCTCCTCTTCAATCCACCCTTCACAAAGTTGCCAAAATAAGCTTCCTAAAGCATAAGTTTCAGTATGTCACTCCTTTGCTCAAGAACCCTTAGTGGTTCCTAATTGATAAAAGATAAACTCCTCAGATTTGCATTTAAAGCCCTCTTTAAGTCCATTTTCCTCTAGTCTCTGTAAGTACTAGAGGGAGAGCATGTCACAGATTTTGAGAGAGAATGTTGGTACCAACTGTACCACCAAGTAAATACTAAATTGTTGTTCAGTGGTAGTCTTCATGACCCTATTTAGGGTTTTCTTGGCAAAGATCCTGGAGTGATTTGCCATTTCCTTCTCCAGCTCATTTTACAGATGAGGAAACTGAGGCAAACAGGGATAAGTGACTTACCCAGATAGGTCTTCCTGACTCCAGGCCCAGCATTTTATCTACCGTGCCACCTGCCTGCCCTACCTTCCTTCAAAAACCAATTCGGAAAGCTTTTCTCTTATACCTATAATTTAGTGTTCTCTCCTCTTCAAAACATCAGGCATAGACACTGCATTCCATTAGAACGTAAGCTCCTTGAGATCTAGCATCATTTTTCAATTTGTCTTTGTATGCCCAGCTTCTCCATGAAGCATTTTCTGAGTTCTCTCTCCACTCAAATTTTCCTAAGCCACTTTTTCATATAGCTTTCCTTTACTCCTACCCAACGTCATTTTGTGTTATCCTTACTTGTGTACATGCTATATATCCCACAATAGAAAGTAAACTCCTTGAATGCAGAATCAATGTCATTTTTCATCTATCCACAGTTTGGTATGCCTTGAAAATAAACCTCTTAAATGCTCCCACAGTGGAAAGGCATTGAGGCAAATGAGAAAAATTAAAACAAATACCATAATACTATTATAACAAACAAGGAGGATAAAGAGTTTTCCTATAGCACAAATTACAGTCTACTTATTCCACATAAATAATTTTCAGTCATACCTGGATGAGGCACTTGCTTACATCACTAGCACAGAGAGCTTTGTTACAACTCAGTGAGAGAGGGATCCATGTTAGGAACATCAGTATGGCTACAGCAGGCACAAGATACGGTGACTTCATGTTTCCTCAAAGCAGACAAGGGGTGATGCCCACGAAGCTCTGAAACAGAAGACTTCACTTCAATAGACAGTCATATTGTGGAGTGAAAATTAGTCTCTTAATTTCAAATACTTTAGAATTATTCTAATGAGTATAATTTTCAATGAAAGTTGATTAAAAGCTCAGAAAATAAATAAAAATTTTATATTATAATACAATGCAAGTCATCCACAGAAACACAAAACCAAAACTCTGACTATGGAAGTTGGTACAACTCCAATGTATCCCAATGTAAGCAACCTAGAGTATAGCAAACAGGTAAAGTTAATTTAAAGTCAGCTCTTCTACTTCAGTAATTGTGCTTGAAAAATATATCACCCCTTACCCAATCTGGGGATAATGAGCTTCTTCAAATTTATCTAGGCTGGTCCTCAGACTAGGGTCCATGAGTAGGCACATACAGAGTAAAAGTAAGAAGGTATTCACTTTCATCAACCCTCTAAAAGTCCTACTCTGCTTACTCACCATAGTACTAAAGAGATGCCATGTTTTCATAAGCCAGCATAGCACAAGCTTTGAGAGGTCCTACATCCATGAAAGGCTTTGAGTGGGCACCTTGTGAAATAGGTTACCATCTGAGATCAGCCTAGCTAAATTTGGAGAGACTCATCATCACCATGTCGGCTGCAATATGATGAATTTTTCCACCACAGCAATGCTGGAAGTTGATCAACTAAGGCATAAGAGGGTTGTGGTCTATGTTGATGTAAGGTATACACCACACCAACAAAAACCAAGCTTCTCAAATACTTAAGTATTCAACTCCACAGCACATATAAAATGTTTTTTAATTACAGTATTATCAATATGTTTTTAAAATATGGACCATACTTATGCTGATTTACAATCATTTCATATTCTCTTATAAAATGGGTCTGAACCAACACAACAAAAAGAATTTACAACTATTTAACCTCTACAAGTTTTAACACATTCTATAAAATGTGGACATTTAAATTTGCCCTACAAACTTTCCAGGGCTATTGTGAGTATCAAATGAAACAATATATTAAGTGTTTTAAATGTGTTAGCTCTCACAAGCTCTCTCTCTCTCTCTCTTTCTGTAACCTATTATTACCTACACATGCTAAGTGAATAATAGGGTGAGGGGAGAGTTCAAAACACTAATTGCAGGAATTCATTTTAGATGAGGCACCATTGTGAATTCTTTAAAGCCACAATGGGGCTAAAAGGATAAGAAAACTGAAAAAAGGTGAACTCAAAATTCCACAAACATAAGTTATCAGATGTAAAAAAAGAAAATTTAACTTTTTGAATTTATTGACACTTCTGTGTGTATGTGTACATATGTGGGTACATTTAAAAAATTTTAAGTTGTTACATTTCAAATTTAAAAGGAGAGTTAAGTTTGAGATTTCTGTAATTACATTTATTGTTTTATTCTAAGCATTAAAATTTTGTAAACCAACAAACAGTGAGAAATGAAAACTCTGACATTAATGGTGGTAAGTATGACTCAAAATTTAGAAAGAGAAAGCCCTGTTGATTATTATTGGAACCACAAAACATTCCCCAAAGGACGTTAGTCACCCAACTTTGTAACTTGTTAAACTACTCTGACCAAATGGGATAATTTCTGGAGCCACTGGCATGTACTTGTGGAGCCAAAATCAACCATTTAAAATTGTTTTTTTCCCCCACTAGTTTTTCATCTTATTGACACTACAAATTAAAGAGTATTTGGTATGAGGTTATTTTTTCCCAAAGTTTTAACAGATTTAGCTTATTAAAGAATCTCTTTATTCTCTAAGGAGAGGAAAAATTTCAAACAAGGACAACACACAATCGGTGACACATTTTTTGAAAATCCCATTCTGCCTCACTTAAATGTTTATTTCCTAATACCTAAAATAACTTAAGTAAACATCTGTCTCCCAAACCTTTCATTCATCATACTCAATTTCTTCTAAACCAAAACTTTGGACTAACTTTTGTCCTCGAGGGAAATGTCAATTAATTGCAGAACTAAACACCGAAGATAACTTCTGCATTTCGGAAGTACTTTAGAAACCATGATTCCACCCCATGCAGAGCTCCTTAGCTGCATTCAGGTGGGGACACCGAGGCACAGTGCAGCCAGGGACTCGCCCAGAGTGGAAGCCTGACCCTAAAAAAGGTTTTTTTCACACTTGGATGGGGCAGGGGCGGGGTTAAGAGGTTGGTGAGGGAGGCAGGCAGATGGGGCGAAGAGCAGGGATTTATTCAATCTGCAAACATTTTTAAAGGGTGGACCGGCTCCGGGCTTAATTTCTTTCTTTTCTTTGGGGAAAGGGAAGGGGAGGACGGGAGAAAAAAGAGGGGAAGAAAGGAGAGGAAGGGAAAGGGGTAAAGGAAGAGGACAGGAGGGAGAAACGAAAGGAGGGGAGGAAGGACAGGGGAGAAGTAAAGGGGAATAGAGGAGGGGGTAAAGAAGGGGAGAAAGGGGGGTGGCGGGCAGGACTCGAAGCCATCTGGGTTAGGACGGAGAAGAAGGATGCCCTCGAGAACGGATAAAAGAAGGCCGGGCCAAAGGCAACCCCACTCCCCCCAACTGCTGCAACTCAACTCAGCAAACATTTGAGGGAGTCCTGCCTTTGAGCCAAGCCCGGGCCCAGGCCAGGATGGAACCGAGCTTCGCCCCCCCACCCCCGGCCCCGGCCGCCGCCTGCCCCGCTCTCCCCCCGGGGAGGCCCTGTCCGCCCTGGCCCCGGCCAGGCCTTCCCGAAGCCCCAAGTCCCCTCACCGTGAGGCGCGGCGCGGCTGGGCCGCCCTCCCTGCCCTCGGTCCCTCTTCCCCACTCGGAGCCGGGCGAGCCGGGAACTTGGCCTTGGGGGAGCAGCGCGTGCAGATGCCCGGGCCCAGCCGCCGCCGCCCCCTGC